CAGCCCACATCACAAAATGAGGACCAGTGTTGTGTCCATCCACTAACACAGAAGCAAACCAGCTTGGGCCTCGGGCTCTGCTGGAGGGTCCCCTTGCATCCCATCACTCCGGTGAGAGCATGAGATGGCTCCTGGCTCTGCTGGAGGGTCCCCTTGCCCCCCATCACTCCGGTGAGAACATGAGATGGCACTGGAAGCCACAGCTTCCAATCAGCTCAGGGCTTGGCTTGTCACTGCAGGCTTTCTTGACACCTGACTGTGACAGGGCTGCGGCAGCCTGGGGTCACTGCCACAGGCAAAATGTTCCAAGAATGAGATGGCCCAGCCTGAGCCCACCTCCCACTGCCGGCCTGCCCCAGGTTCTCTGGTGCATCCTTTCCTAAGGGAGTCGGAATATTCCGGACACCTGAGAGATACACAGGCCACTTGCTAGCATGTGCCTCCCCATAATGTTACAGAAATAAAACATTTCAAACCCTGAGGGACCACGAAGCTCTAGCTGGTGGTTTGCTCCTTCCATTTACCTTGTCTTATGCTGGCGGAGACACCCCAGATGTGGCATGATCCCTGATGTCACCCCCACATGGGTTTTACTTGGTAACTACCTGGTTGGGCAGTCCTCAAACTATACAGTGTGTGTGTGTGTGTGTGTGTGTGTGTGTGTGTGTGTGTGTGTGTCGGGGGGAGTGCATGTGTCTTCCCAGCAGTGGGGAGGCAGAGACAAGAAGACCCCTGAGTTTTCAGGCCAGCCAGTCAGGTCAAATCTGTGAGCTGCAGGTTCAGTGAGAGACCCTACCTGAGGAAGACACCCAGGGCCTGTGCCTGGCCTCCACATATATGTTCACACACATGTTCACACACATTTTTTTTCCTTCCAGTGGGAGATGCCATTCTAGACTTTCCTTTGCACTCCTTGGTGTCTGCCACACAGCTCAGGTTTCATTTGTCATTTGGATGGTAAGTTTTGCAGAGATCAGGCAGATACACTGGCAGACGGCTGCCCAAGGCACCTTTAACCTTGCATGCTCCAACCCCAGTCCCGGCCTCCCTGGCCATCGTCCATGGTTTCCTGTTGGCTTACAGAATAAGGCAAGATTCTCTTTTGAGGACACCGCGCTGGTGGGGCTGGGTCTGTATCCACCTCCCTACATCCGTTACCTCTGTACCAGCTGCCTTGGCCCTCCTCCTCATCAGCTTCTGCCATGGGGCCTTTGTCCATGTCCTCTCTGCCGGAATGTCACTTCTTAACCTTGTCACCTGGTCACCTCCATCTGCCCTTGGGTGGAAGCTCAGACAGACGAAAGCCCCACAGCCAGGCAGGACAAAGTGAGAGGGAACTCATACATCCCGAGGGTCCCCAGCCCCATGCTGCTGCGTGCCCCACAGGGAGATATACAATACCCTCAGCGATCCCATTCCTGGGGTTCAAGTGGGGTTCATTTGTCTCCAAAATGGAGCCCCAGTCCAAGAATAACACAGGTACTGGGATGTCTCCTGTCACTTTTATGGATTGTGAATACCGTCCTCTGTGACCTTGAAGCAAGGCCCCAGCAGACCTGGAGAAATGGCCAGATGGTTCTCTGGTGTTCTGTTCTTGACTTTGGGAAAGAAGGGTGGGGGTACCATCCATAACCACCTGCTAGGCTGTCTGAGAGGCCAAAGGGCCAGCAAACTAAGGGGAGAAGCCACTGTCTCAGGAGATGGGGATGCCTGAGCCACAGCAGGGGTGTGAGCCACTTTCAGTCCTGTGGAGCCGCTGGCTTTGGGGAGCAGTGCTTGTGTTGTCCAGGGTGCTCTTGGTCCCAATCTAGGAAGTCACTTGAGCTGATGGCCTGGCTGCAGGCTGGAAGATGCCACTCAGCCAAGTCACAGTGGCCTGGGGTCAAGATTCTGTATGTCTCTCTACACTGCCTCATTAAACAACAAAAACTTGTGTGTGCGTGTTTGTGTATGTGCCTGTGTGTGTATGTGTGTGTGTGTGTCTGTGTGTGTGTGTGATGTGCGTGTGTGTATGTGTGTGTCTGTGTGTGTGATGTGCGTGTGTGTATGTGCATGTGTGTGTGAATGTGCGTGTGTATGTGTGTGTGTCTGTGTGTATGTGTGTGTGATGTGCGTATGTGTATGTACCTGTGTGTGTATGTGCGTGTGTGTCTATGTGTGTGATGTGCATGTGTGATGTGCGTGTGTATGTCTGTGCATATGTGTATGTGCGTGTGTGTATGTGCATGTGTGTGTGAATGTGCGTGTGTATGTGTGTGTGTGAATGTGCGTGTGTATGTGTGTGTGAATGTGCGTGTGTATGTGTGTGTGAATGTGTGTGAATGTGCGTGTGTATGTGTGTGTGAATGTGCGTGTGTATGTGTGTGTGAATGTGCGTGTGTATGTGTGTGTCTCTGTGTGTGTATGTGCATGTGTGTGTGTATGTACATGTGTGATGTGCTTGTGTGTGTGTTCATCAGGCACCATTGCCTAGAGAAGTGTCAGCTGCGCAGTGCATAGCATCTACGACTGTAGGCGGTGGCCTCGCCCACGGCTCATATCCTTGGCATTTGGGGATGTCACTCAGGCACAGAATGTGCGATATTTAGGTGGCAGTTGCAAGGCGCTGTATGACATTATTTAAGATCTATTCCTTGTTCTCCTGAGCAGGGGAGCCAGGCAAGAACCAGGGTGACTGCGGAGTAACACTTGCTATGAAACAAAGTCATGTGACCAGAGGTGACGGCACAGGAGCAAGGTGGCCAGAGATGGTCTCTCCAGCCAAGGGGTGTTTGGGGATTGGTTTAAAGAACAAAGGGTCTGGCTCTGTGGCTGAGCGCACTGGCTGCTCTTCCCAGTCGATCCGAGTTCAGTTCCTTGCTCCCATTTCAGGCGGCCCACGACTGCCTGGAACTCCAGCTCCAGGGGCCCCAATGTCCTTTTCTGGCCTCCATAGGCTCTGAACTCACAGGGTCACATCCACATACAGACTCACATATACACACACAATAACAAAGAAAGAAGGAGAATCATCAGCGAGCTGTAGTGGCGCACACCCTTAATCCCAGCATTCAGGGGGCAGAAGCAGGAGGGTCTCCGTGAGTTCAAGGCCAGCCTGGCCCACACAGAGAGTTTTATATACACATTTGCTACCACACAGTTGTCACGATCACTACAACGTGATGTTCCTTACTAAAACCCAACGTAAGATGTATTTTAGAACTAGGAGACAGAAATAAATAGGAATCACTGTGCCCTTCATTCTGCCTGACTAGCAGGAAGTGGAGGGCTGAATCCTCACACACTGATGCTCCGAGGGTAGCTGGAGACACTGTTCCACCCGACCTGGCATCAGAACGGGTGTCTTTTTATTTTATTCTATATAGATGCTCTTCTTTTGTAGGCTACCTTAAAGCCTCGCTTTGGGAAAGAGCGGGGACTGTGGATAAAGACTTTATTCATCCCGGCTGGCCGCTGCGTGTGCCAGGCTGGCCGCTGTGCGCACAAGGCCTGAACAACACGATTCCCCGAGCCCTCAGCTTGTAAAGACCAGCAGACCCAACAGGAAAACAGGCTCGCAGTTCATTTCTGATAATTAACTCTGGGGCCAGAAAGAAAAACAGCTCTATCTGCAGGGTACTAATTGCTCTTAGGAAGCTGACTTTGTGCTTAGGGCAGGAGCCGTGTGACTCCTCCCTGGGTGATACCTGTCCTCACCCTGGGATGAGTGACACACACACTTTCTAAAGGGGGGTGGACCCAGCAAAGCCCAACAGACTGCTGACAGCTTGAGTGGCCTCTGGTGGCCTGGTGACTGCCACTTCCCCCTTCACGGGGGCTATTGCCTCCTTCCCCACACATGATTAACTGGGCCCACTGCGGCCTGCCGTGGATCTGTAGGTTCACTGAGAAGTTTCCAGAGTCAGGGTGTAGGGTGACACCCTTGTGCCTGTTACGCACTCTAAAGGCTCTGATGATAGATCAGGGTGGAGGGAGAGAGGTCAGATGAGGGACCCCCATGTTACCCATTCCGGTTGCTGCTGAAGGTGGCCACCAAGCGTGGACCCTTGGTCCAGGCACCATAAGAAGTGAGCCGTGTTTGCAGACCCTGCCTTGGGCATTCTGTTCAGCCGACCCACCATAGAATTCAGGTTTCCCCCACGGACCCCAGCTGGTAAAGAAAGACTTAGTGTCATGATGCCACCAGCAGGAACAGAAACAGCTCAGACGTCCACCACAGACCCTGTCTGGATCCCATCTCAGGAATCTTGCTGGTCCCAGCCTCTCACTGGTCTTGGTCACTCCGTGGCTGATAACCAGTTCGTTCCCACTCATGCTGAGCGCATTAGGGCTGGGCAGTTCCAAGCTCTTGAAGGAATAGGGACCGGAGTCAGGGTGGGCTCACAGAATGACCCCAGGGGCGTGACAGATGTACATGGCCTTTAAGATGTGGTACTCGCTGTCTTAAGACACAGCTGTCCCATGTCCTTGGAGTCCTGTAAGGACAGTGGTCTGTTCAAGTGGACATATTCAGATAAGGAGTTTGCATTCTAGGGCTTCTCTTTTTTGAAGACGGCTGAAATAATAGTGACCGTAATCCCCTCTTGCCCTTTGTGGTAGCGCTGGGCTCAGCAGGCAGCCAGATGTCCCCAAACTGCAGGGAAGTGACACCACCCCCCCTTTTGACAGCAGCCAGCCCCACAGGGCTCCTGCAAAGGCCCCAGGGCCTCACCTCACTGCAGGCAGAACTCCAGGGAGTCAAACAAACAGGGGAAGGAAGCTGGTGACACTCTGACCCTGTGACATCAGCGCTCCTGGAGCTCCGCAGGGTGCAGGGGACCTTTTGCGTGGTGAGGGAACTCTGTTCTGCTGCTGTGGGCCCACTTCAAAGCAACTCCCATGGCCTTTGGCTTAGCTTTGATCAACTTGCAGCTGGCTCAGTGAAGGCCTTGACTCATCCTTCCCTGTGAAGGTCATTTGTTACACAGATGGAGGAGGCGGCTGAGAAGGGGGAGTCCAGCCCATTTCCCACAGACAGGCGGCTTCCGGCGTCTCAGTTGATACGTCCGTGGAATGGCATAAAACATCCTTGGGGGGGGTCACAGACGGTGAGTACCTGGGGCCTGCTGTGTTAAGTGTATTAATCTACCCTTAAAAGAAGGTTCTGGAAGAGTATAAAGAACACTAGCCAACAGGGAAACTCAGTCACAGGAAGTGAGTCTCCCTTAGGCTTCCACGGTGATGGGCACAGTCCACATGGACACCGGCCAGTGTGGCAGCCACTGGCCACTTGTGGCAGGCGTGTGGTTGAAACATGGACCCTGCGGTTTGGAAGCAAATTATTTCTCTAAATGTAGACTTTATAGTAAATAACCAGAGTCGCCCGTGGTGACTGGGTTCAGCAGCATCGCACCAGAGACAGGTGCAGAACTGCTCAGCTTCCCCGGAAGGCATGGGGACAGCCTCTGGGCTCTCTGTTCTCTTAGATCAGAAAGTCATTTGGAGCCGCTGAGCCCGGAGGACCCATGCAGACCTCAGACACATGGGTTCCCAAATTCGGCTGTTACTACTTAAGAAGCTGACGTCCGTGAATGGGGGAGGGGAAAAACCCACAACTTCAGATGCTCTTATAAGTGTGGGCCAGCTCTGGTTCAAATAGCTGGCCATGATACTCACGGGGAATGACACCAAACCTCCTCGATGTTGCCAAAGTCTTTCCCTGCTGGGATCTCTGATCCAGGGGGTGGCAATTCAGGAAAGAAGGAAGAATGCATTTGCTCTGACTGGGTGAGGTTCTGGGCTTGTGTGGACGAATCCAGAAAGAGTTGAGCTGGAAAAGTAACTCAGTGGGAAAGACACTCATGGAACCCTGGGTTCTCTGGCCACATGCACCAAGTATGATGGTCTGCAATCAGAACTTAAGAAGCAGAGGTAGGAGAATCAGGAGTTCAAGGACATCCTCAGCTGCATTGTGAGTCTGAGGCCAGCCTGGGGTACATACGATCCTGCTGAAGAAGAAAGTGGTCACTCAATGTTTAAGATTCCTTTACAGCTCTTGCAGAGGACCTGGATTTGATTTCCAGCACCCACATCTGGAGGCTCACAGCTGTCTGTAACTCCAGCTTCAGGGAATCCAGAGCCCTCTTCTGGACTCAGTAGGTACCCGCACACAAATCTAAAAATAAAATAAATCAAGAGAGAGAGAGAGGAAGAAGAAAGACAGACAGAGAGAGAGGGAGAGAGAGAGAGGGAGGGAGGGAGGAAGGAAGGAAGGAAGGAAGGAAGGAAGGAAGGAAGGAAGAAAAGGAAGAAAAGAAGAGAAAGGCGCTGCCTTCACCTATGTCCTGAAGTGCTTCCTGTCTTCCAGGGAACTGTGAGACACGGCTGTCTGTGGCTCGCGTGGCTGTTCGCTCCTGGAGCAGCAGAACCAGTCAGAGCGGTCATGTGTCCACATTCCCACCAGTCATCCAACATAAGTGTGAGCGGCCTGCAGAAGGTTCCCAACCAGAATCTTCCCTGAACATCCCTGGTGTCCTAGCCTTACCCCACCAGTTAGTCCCTCAAGCTAGGCCGGGGTGGCATCTTACACAGCAAAGGCTTACAAGAGCTCCGCATGCTGCCGGCCTACACTCTGGTTCTCACACTCCCGGTGACAAGCAAAGCTTCATGCTGCTTCCTGTGCCAAAATCCTGCCCTGGGGCACAGCTCCGCTGGGATGCCAGGGGCACACCAGCCCACCCCCAGCGTCCACATACACTTCCCACAAAGCTGGTTCAAGATGGAAAGCAGACAGCGCTCTCTGACCAGTGCCAGCGGTAGAGGAGAGCCAGGCCCCTGGGTGGGTTCATGTGGAGGCCTGAGGGGAACAAGGCCGCAGTGTGGGTCCGGCTGGCAGGCTCCTGATGCTACGTGAGAAGTCGTGAAAACAGCCTCGTGGCCAGTAGGGCACCTCCCTGGCCTCCGCTCCCTCACTTCAAACCAACCATGGTTTTGGAAAAGAGGCTGCGTGCGTACCGCACCCAGACTCTGCCCAGTGGCAGGAATCGGGAAATGCCAGGGCTTGGTCATTGTTGACCCAAGGCTGTGAACACAGGCCCTGTGTTCCTGTGGCCGGCAATGGAGTCTTGGTGTTTATGGGGAAACAGGTTGATGGTACAGGCCACTCGGTAGAAACTTCCAGAAAACACTTGTGCATCTGACTGGGCGCCGTGTCAGGGGTATGATATTGAACACCACAGGCATTTCCTGGCATCCTGGTGGGTGCCTGGTGCAGCTGGGTGGGAATGTTGGGCTGGGAAGTGAATCGTGGAACATAGCTCAGCTAAGGTAAGTGTCCCCGGGGAGGTCACAAGGTGAGAATGTGACAAAGGACTTGAATGCCAGAGCGACTATGGGTGAGACCCACACTGGGTCCTCTGACGGGAGAGAGGGGGTCTGAGGCCCAGCACACCTGTCAGCGGAGGCTGGATGAGCAGGCAGCAGGCCAGGCGGAGATGGAAAATGCCCCGGGAGTGAGGAGTTCAGCCTTGCGCGGTCCTCAGTGACATCCAGCGGAGACGGCAACACCATTCCAAGCAAGCAAGACAAACTGGAGCCAAAGGAAAGGGGCTGACGTGCATGTAGCTATGGGGTAGCACAGGCCAGGCCACTGGTGACATCTGGGCAGCAGTAGAGGACAGGGCTAAGTGTGGACCTGGGAGCCGTTTCCAGGAGAGTCCAGCGCAGACCCACGAGAGGTAACTCCTACGCCGGTTGTTGGCTACCTAGCAGTCAGCAGCGGGAAAGGCACGCTGAGTGAGCTTGGGGAGTGTCCCAGCTCTCCCGCCCCGAGTGACCCTACTTCATGCCATCCCACGCTGGCACTGGGCTCCAGTGCACACCAGCTGCCATTGCTTGGAGGCCATTCTTAGACCGTTTGACCCCCATCTGCTGCCCCTGCTGTCTAAGTTCCCACGTAGGACCTTGTCAATATCCAGGCCGTCCGCCTCTACACCCTCAATTTCACAGCCCATCTCGGTGACTTTGGTAACTTGGGACCCTCACTCTGAACCCTAATTCTGTTTTTCAAAGGTCTCGGCAACCTTGCCACCCGTCTCTGGTGGTGGCCCCTTGGAGTTCCCCGTGAACAACACACACAGTGGACAGGAATCAGGGTTACCCGAAGTTTCTTCCTCGGATATCTTTTCTATCACCAGTTCCAGAATCTTCAATGGCAGCTGCCAACATGGCTCTCCAAGAGTCCTCGTCATATTGATTTGGTCTTGCTGTTTACTTGAGAGTCTCCAGTTGCACCCAAGGACAAAGCCACTGCCTCTCAACCTGGGTGCTCTATAGGCCACACAGGGTGGAGAGTTATCTGAATGCTGACCCACGCAGAGGTCGTAGACAGTGGCCCACATAGCATGTTCTAGTCGTGCCTTCTGTGGTCTGTAGGCCCAGAGCAGACTTGAATGCATGACCCCACTAGGAGACAGGAGACAGAGACCTCGACCTGCAGCTCAGCACAGTTTCATTCCCACACTTCTTCCAAAGAATGAATGTCATGTTTGAGCTGATGAGATGGCTCAGGGGGCTAAGGTGCTTGCTGCCAAGCCTGATGGCCTGAGTTCAATTCCCAAGACTCACATTGTGAGCAGAGAGATCAAATCTGCAAGTTTCCCTCCGACAGCCACACTTGCACTGTGGCATGTGCACCCCTCCCCTAACACGCGCCTAAGTATGTAAAAAAGAGAATTCCATTATCCTTGCTGGTAGGACTTCTTTGAAACACTGTACCCAGTTGTTATATTTTGAATTTTGTCAATAAAAACTTGTGTTCTACCCCTCATATATAAGAACCTATATGTCAGGTGTGGTGGCCCACACCTTTAATCCCAGCACTAGCAGGCAGAGGCAGGTGGGTCTCTGATTTCAAGGCCAGCCTGGTCTACAAAGCAAGTCCCAGGACAGCCAGGGCTACACAGAGAAACCCTGTCTCGAAAAACAAAACAATAACAAAAACCTATATAATGTCGCTGACTTGCTTCTTAGCTCTCAATGTCTAGAATATTTGACCCTTTACAGAACAAGCCTGGCTCCACTGTGAAGCCTAAGACTTCCAGTGCTGCCATCTGTAAGCCTTCTGGGCCCCCTAACTAAGAGGTCCCTTCTCCAGACATGTCCCCACCAAGCCTTTTTGTCCTCAGCAATCATTTGACCTCCCTGCTAGCCCACGACATCATTCTAATAAGCCTGTTACATCCTCACAGGAAGCCAGGGGCCCCTTCATCCCATTGTCACTACTAGCTCTGCTGACTTGCCCTGAGTGGCCCTGGAGTGGGCGACGGGCTCCTTCCTATGACTGGTTCTGTATGTCACTTTTTAATGTGCCTTTTGCACCTGCAGATTCCATATGGTCAGTGCTGGACACAGTTCAACCACCTTGCAGTATTTAGACTGGAGGGGGGACTTCTTCAATCGTGGGGAAAGAGGGGGCTGGATGGACTGGATGGCTGGACAGGAGGAAGTGAAGATGAATGGGTGGATAGAGGGACAGAGTATATGAAGGAAAAAAGCAGAAGAAAGGAAGGGTCAGGAGATATTTAGGTAGATGCCAAAAAGGAAGGGTAGAAGGAAGAACAGATAGGGGAGTGGAATGAAGAGACAAAGGAGAAGAGGACCAGAAAATGGATGATTGGATGGCTGGATGGATGAATGGACAGATGGATAGGTGGGCAGATGGATAAAAGAATGTATGGAAGGATGGATGGACAAAAGGATAAATGCATGGACCGATGGATAAGTGGATAGACAGATGGATGGACAGATAGATGGGTGGATGGAGAGATAGATGGATGGATAGACGAACAGATGACTGGATAAATGGCTAAACAGATAGATGGATGATGGATGGATGGACAGATGGATAAATGGATGGACAAACAGATGGATGAACAGATAGAGGGTAGATGGGTAGATAGATGGATGAATAAATGAATGGACAGATGTTTGGATGGATGGATGGATGGATGGACAGACAGATGGAAGGAGAGACGGATGGATAGGTGGGAGGGTGGGTGAGTCTGCCTGATTGCCAGACCTATCCCATTTCTCTAGATCCCTCTCATTCTCACATCTCTCTCTGGCCCACCCAGCCTGCAGGCTCAGTGTCCTCCTCCCTCCTCTGGCCCAGGTCTCAGAGTCTGTGCCCATTCCCACACTACTGCTCCTGTGTTCCCTGCCTGGCAGCAGGAGCGACCACATCCTGCCAGCTCGCTCTTGACATCTTGAAGCCTGACTGGCCCCTCCTTGCCCCAGGACTTTGATGGAGGAGAAAGAAGGCACTTTGTGGGGTTTGGAGACTGGCCTGTCTGGTCTGCCCCTGGGCTCACACGACAAGCTCCGACTGTGCTTGATGGTTGATGGTCTTTCAGGCGGGGCCGCTGGCTCCATTGCACTAGAGACCATGGGTTTACCCCACACCTGAGAAAACAAGGCTGGAGCTGTATGTGGCTGATAAAGCCGTCCCGAGGCAGAGGCTGCACATGTGCTGGCATCCAGGGACAGACACTGGGTCCTTTGTGTTCATTCCCAACCAGTTGCCTACTGGGAGCGGCAAACAGCAAACTCTCTCACCTCTGTGGGGCTGAGCAAGCCAGGTTGGCCGCATTCGCTCAGGAGCAACATGAAGGGGCTGTTGTCTGCAGCCTTGGAAGCCAGGCAGGTATCAGAGAACCTCTCCCACGGACTGCTGGGAGAACCGGGCACTCAGTAGCCAGGAAGGGAGGGGCGTTGCTGGAAGTCAGGCTGTGCCTGCTGAGTCCAAGCTAGGTAACACAGAGGCTTTCAGGCCAGATTCCATCTTCCAAGCAGTGCATGGAGGCCAACTGTTCCTTGGTGGACGTGAATGAAGCAACTGTCCAGGCCCATGCATGACTCACAGATGGATAAATGATAGATCCGAAGGGGTCGAAAGGACTCTGCCCTCTGAAATCGGCAAAGTAAACACGTGAACACATGGGCAATTAAAATCATATCAGGGCATCTAAGCCCGAGAACATATCAGACACCCTGATAGAGGGCAGGGTGCAAACCCCTCACCTGGACCCCACAAAAAGGAGGACACCTAATACTGAGAGGGTGACCCACAAACCTGTCCTCTGATCTCACAGTGTGTGGTCCCACAGGCTGAGAACTCTCGACCATCTCAGGAGATGACACTCAGCCCGGCTGTACACTAACTGACATCCATCCACCCGCCATTTATCTGTTTGGACTCTGACATCCTCCGTGGTCCCGCAACTCGACTTGAGATTCAGCTTAACCTCGACCCCGAGGCTTGACTCTGTATTGGCACTTCCTGCAGACCTCAGGCCAATTCCTCCTCCAGTTCCCACAAGGACACTTTCCACTATGTAAGCCTTGGGCATCTGCCTCTCACGCCTCTTTGAAGCTTCTTGAGTTCTACTGTGG